TTGAGACTTTCAAGAAGAGATTGGACTGCCATTTGTCAGAAATGGTGTAGGGTTTCCTGCTTGGGCGGGGGGTTGGACTAGATGACCTACAAGGTCCCTTCCAACTCTGATTATATGTTATCTGTTCCTTAGCAAGGAAAGAAAATGAAGTAGATCAAAGAAAGGAAGTGATGTAACAAAAACAGGAACAGAAGCAGCAATTCCACATAAGGAAAACAAACATAGGAGTCTAATGGATTAGCCTGACTATTGGAAGCAGAACATATATTCTATATTGCTGGACTTTAAGCCCTTTCAGAACAAAAAAAAACTGTCAGCATCCAGGGAAAGAATCACATGACAGAAGACTGCTGTACCATACAACAATACTAAATAAGTTGATGGTTTAATGTGGGAAGGAAATAGAAATATATCTTGAGGAGACTTCTCCATTCATAAAACATGCTATTTGTCAGGAGTAAAGATTTTCAATTACCCCAAAATATTTTCCAAATTAGTAAACTCACTTTTTAAAAAATTATTTCCTGCTTATTCGAGTTTGATCAAATAATACTTCTAACAGCAGGAGTAATCATACAGTATTAGCATGGACTTGGAGGAAGTTCAAGAACCTGAATTTAGGTGACATTTTTTCTATCCTTCTACTCTATGGAAGAGAATCAGAAACAAGAATGTACCCAAGTGAACGAGTGGCTATACAAATGATGTTGACAGGAAATATTTTGTTTCTGGAACTGTATCCTATGTTAATTGGTAGTCAACAGATAACATTACATGGATTCTACCTCATAAGAATTAGTAAAACTGTGCTTGGCTAGAGCATGGAGAATTGAATCAAGGTGGCTTCAAACTGATCGCTTTGTGAATTGGAGATGAAAATCCTAACATAGGAAAAGACTTCACACATGGAAGGAAGTTAACAGTGTTGTTATTATAGACACTATTAAACAATTCAGTGGAAAATAAAAAATATGTTTGTTTCATAAATTTCTATGGGGTTTTCTATATACAAATGCTTAAATGATGAAAAATAAAGAAAATGAGTTTGAATTCTTAATTCAAGAAGTTAACTACAAGCTAATATGTATAAAATTAACACTGTTACTAATGCCTTTGTTTCTTGCCCAACCGAGAAGATGTAAAATGATGCTTTCCAAAAGCAAACTGCAGATCTTTCCAAGAGTCTTAAATAGCAGTGATAGAGAATTTAATTATCCCAACATCTGTTTGGAGGCAAGCTCTCCCAAACATGATAATCCCAGGAAATTTTCCTTCAGAGGGTTAAAGATTGTACAAGAAGATCAGTTATCTCACTTGATAGAGACTACCAGGGAAGATTTAATTGAGAAAGAAGTAGGAATATTTGGAACAAGTATAATAATGAATAGTTGGTTTTAAAGGAAATCAAGCTGAGTGTTACAATACATAATTAGAGCTTCAAAAAACAAGTTTAGCCATTTTTAAGTCAGGAAATATAAATGTATGATTTTAAAACAAATAGGTTTAGTGAAAAACAGCATGGGAATTCAATGCAAGAAAACTTGTGATTCTTTCCCAAAATCGATGTAAAAAGGAAAAATTGTATCATGGCAAAAATATAATTTTGCTGAAATCATTCCAATAACTATATACGTGTGTGTGTGTGCATGTGTGTGTGTGTATGTGTGTGTATATCTGATGGCAGATGAGATTCTGCCGAAACATTGCTACAACTTTAAAAGCACAACTACAATGACGTGGGAAAATACCCGAACAAAGCTGAATGCCGTGTGTGTGTGTGTGTGTGTGTGTGTGTGTGTATGGATCTTTGGTTATTTGGGTTTTCTCCTGCGTAAAATTGGAAGTATCTAGGTGACGTTTTGATGAAGTCTCATTCATCATCTTCAGGCTTGTGTCTTCGGCTTTGTGCTTCTCAAAGTAAAGGCTTTGCTTCTCAAAGCCGAAGACACAAGCCTGAAGATGATGAATGAGACTTCATCGAAACGTCACCTAGACACTTCCAATTTTATGCGGGAGAAAACCCGAATAACCAAAGATCCACATACAAATACCCGCGAAA